GACACCACTTGTTTGAGTTGATTGCATGTTTTAGTGCTTTTCTCACTTAATTTCAGCACTCATTAATCTCTGCAACCTTCCTCATTTCTTGACTTTTTTATTTGCTTTGAGGGTTGTTTCAACCTTAGGATAGTTTAAGCTTGAGATTGAGGTTCATGCTTAATGGTTTAATCCTCTTTTGGGGGTTCATTATCAACGACATAACACTTCTCTTTTGCCTTAAACTACCACTTGTTTGACACTTCCCTCTCTTTTAGAGGACTTAACTCACCAATGGACTTAATTGGTTAATGAATGGTTGGTAAGTTAAAATGAGTAATTAAAAGTTGAAACTAAAATTGTGCAAAGATAAGAATTTGGTTGTGTTTTAGTCTGTTCAATCGGACGTTAATTGAACAAAAGGAAAATTGGGACATTTCATACTCAAAGTGATGAAATGTGTCAAGTTTCCTAGGTCTCCGTCGCCCTTGATCCTGCATGATAGGGTGATGGTTTTTGGTCTTGTTTGTGCATTTATTAAACTTGTACATCTTGGTTCCTTAGCCATCATGTAATGAAATTGCTTGAATTGATGGTTTGAGGACTAAGTGTATTGTTCCTTTGAAATGTTTTGATGATAAGAAAGGATACACAGTATAAACAATATGTGAGAATACCCTTTCTTTGCCCTGTTTGCTCTCTGTTGCAGCAAGGAATGGTACATCATTAGTGGTCGGCTGACCACTGTTTCTAGCCAGCAGGCCATCAGTGTTGGACGCCAATCCCCTACTGGTGGCTGGCCGGCCACCAGTGAATTTTGAGCAGAATGTTTGTAAAGCAGAGCATATTTGACCTGGAAGTGGAAAAACAGTGCAAGGGTTGTGTAACAGAGGCTTTCGGGGAGTAGACAGTGGATGTTCTTCTGGTGGAAACCGAGCATGCACGGGCCTCCCTCGCTTTCCTGGACTAGTTAATTAGTTTAATTAGTAATTAGTCATTTATTTGTTGTACTTAATTAGTTGTAACTAATTAGTTTGTTTTGTACTTGTTTAATTAATTTAGATTCGATTAATTAAATTAGTTTGTGTTGTAAATATTTAATTAGCTTAGCCTAGTTTATTTAATTAGTGTGCTTAATTAATTAGCTTAGATAGCTAGATTATTTATTCAAGTTTTGTAATAATTAGTTAAGTAGTTTAGCTTAGCTAGTTTATTCATTCGGATCCTCCTGCGCGAGGGCATCAATATTGTAATAACGTGCATGTTTTCCAACCCCACGTCTTTCTCCTTTTTATTTATCCGCTTTTGATGGTTAGATTAGGGACATCATGTTTCAATTAGCATATCGCATGTTTGCATCAATTCATTTGTCTTACATGCACCGAGGCTCGGTTCATCATTCTAACTGCGTTGTCGTTTCAATACCTCGTTGAATACGTGTTTAAACACATGCTATGAAATTGTTGCAAGTAACATGTTAAGTAGCCGAGCCTATTTTAGTTGCATTATTGTATACGTTGCATTAGCCATCTTGCATGGTTAGGTATCATGCATATTTTTCTAACTCTTTTGTTTTATCTTAGCTTGGAGTACTAGGTGAGTTTTTAGTACTTTAGCATACTTGCATGAGTGTGAGTGACTGCCATGACTAGCATGCTTGCCATGAGACTAAGTGCTTACTCGTTAAACTATTTGAGTGCCTGTGGATGAAGGCTTGTTGATTGAATTGGAATGATTCAATGAGATGTACGTTTAAGCCCACTTTGTCAAGTGGCAAAATCGCAAACTTTAAGCTCATTTTGTTAAGTGGCAAAATCAAACCCTTTTTGAAAAACAAACATGATGTTTGCATCAATTCATTTGTCTTACATGCACCGAGGCTCGGTTCATCATTCTAACTGCGTTGTCGTTTCAATACCTCGTTGAATACGTGTTTAAACGCATGCTATGAAATTGTTGCAAATAACATGTTAAGTAGCCGAGCCTATTTTAGTTGCATTATTGCATGCATTGCATTAGCCATCTTGCATGGTTAGGTATCATGTATATTTTTCTAACTCTTTTGTTTTATCTTAACTTGGAGTACTATGTGAGTTTTTAGTACTTTAGCATACTTGCATGAGTGTGAGTGACTACCATGACTAGCATGCTTGCTATGAGGCTAAGTGCTTACTCGTTAAACTGTTTGAGTGCTTGTGGATGAAGGCTTGTTGCTTGAATTGGAATGATTTAATGAGATGTACGTTTAAGCCCACTTTGTCAAGTGGCAAAATCACAAACTTTAAGCCTATTTTGCTAAGTGGCAAAATCAAACCCTTTTCGAAAAACAAACATGAAATTGAATTGTTCCAATTCGGGTATACTAGTCTATACCTTTTGTGTGCTCATCACATAGTAAATGCTAGCCTAATAAACAGGAACAAGAGCACATAATGTTGATAAAAATCATATCATGATTAGTAGAGGTCGATCTTTGATCGGGCAAGTGAGGGTGCTCAAATGTATTCATGACATTCCCCTCTCGTACCTAAGTTCTCGAGCCGAGACAATCTTGGTGATGATGGACACGTGGCCATTGGCACGAGTCATGGGTTTCTTAAATTTCTCAAAATATTTAGGTGGCAACTCTGTATCTGGCAAAGCAGTCCATTTTTTGTAATTTGATTCAAAATCGATTTTCAAAAATATTTGTCAAATTTGGACTCTTTAGTGTTTATCAATTTCACATTGTACTTGTGAGATTAGATTCAGAATCGCGGGAGTCCGAACTGTAGGGCTTATTTCGCCTTCCGAAAGGGGGGCGCGAAAAAAGCCGAGCTACACTTGTTTTCTTTGTTTCTCTTTTTTTCTTATTGCAATTCAATGTTGAAACATGAAACCTAGAAATTTAATGCCAAGTAACTTTTTGAACCTATTGTTCAGTTAATGTTTTTCAATTCATATAGAACCTATATTTGCAAAACTATTAGTATAATCTCTATGCTTCAATGACTGTTGGTCAATTATGCAAGATTTGATTACAGTAACTACATTTTCATCTCACCAAAAATGCAAGATGGCTTTTTTCTATTTAATCCTCGATCATTTTTAAGTTGTTTGTTTTAACAATTAAGGGGGTTTTATTTTTTCTGTTAAATATCAAGTAAAAAGGAAATTTTTTTAGAGTTTGTTGTACATTGTACACAATCTTTGTTCTACATAAATCATGTATAAGATAACTCACAAAATATCTTTAACCTACTTGTGGAAATCTACCAAACTAAAATTTTGGGGATGTTATAATGGATTGACCGGACATACTTTGAAAAAAAATTATTTTTTATTTTTATGATGAATCAACTACTTCTAAGTTTTACTTATGAGAGGTTGCCTTAATCGTAATGTACTTGATTCAAAATATGAAAACATAAGTTGTTTTCAATTTCTAAGTTTGTGCAGTCTAGATGCATATGCAGCCATCTAGTCCCCATGCCTTGAGCCTTCAATGATTACAAGTCTTCTAACCTCCTTGGCATTTCTCGTGGCATTCTTCTTGGCAGATTTTAGCAGCTCCCTCATATGAACACTTACATTAACAAAAATAAAAATTAGAAGAAATATGATAGAAAGGAGCACTTCGAGAGGGAAGACCTCCTATTGGTGCAATCTGAGGAGAACCACACCTCCAAAAACTTAACAAGAAGTTAATTCATTTAATACAATGAATATTATAACTAACTAGAAACCCACAAATACCACTTCACTTGTAAGCTAACAAACCCACAAACCTACTAATACTATATTCCTAATTGCAAGGTAAATGCTAATAACTAACAAAATAAATATTCTAAACGCATCATTCCTACCCTTTCAGATTCAATCTTGCTCTCAAGGTTGAAATACAAATGTTATTCAAAACTCACCTAGATGGATATGATAATAATGAATGTATAGAGGACCATCTCTATAAACATGAAATTGTTGCCATCTTGCTCTTCAAAGATCTTCAGCAATAAAATTCTTCATTGCATCATTTTGATCAAAGAAATAAACATGATGAGAAGATGGATGAGCATCTTCTCTGATGACTACTCATCCTTAAAATATGAGATCAGTACACTGAGAATCAAACTTTCTATCTTCAAAATCTGCTTTCTTGATCTGCACTTTGATCTAGAGCTTCCACAAATTGTTTGTTGCTCTCTACCATTTTCAAGACGAGTGCTTTAATCCCTTGTAATTCATTGCAAATTGACTCCAAGATTTCTTGTGGTATAGCTATTGTCGAGAATCGACAGTTCTAATACCAATTGATATGAACCTTTTTATTTAAAAAAAATTTAAAAAAAAAAAGGGGGACAGAAGAAGAAGAAATAGAGAAGAAAGGACCACTTCAAGGGGAAATACCTCTTGTTGGTTTAATTTGAGAAGAATTAGACCTACATAAACTTCACAAGAAGTTAATTCAGAAAATATCCAACATACCTTTTCATTGAATACAACATATGTAAATACAAGGAAACATGTAACTACCTAGAAACCCACTAATTCAACATCGCTTATGATCTAACTAACCCACTAACTCACTACTACTATACTCCCTTTGAGATTTTATCCAAGGATCCATTTGTTCCCATTATGTGTGTTCCCAAAAGGTCACAGTTTTTAGCCAGCTTGGTCTTCAGAAACCTAACCCATCTTAAGTTTTTAATCGCAATTCTGTAAAACCCTCTCACTGAAAAACCTCTTCTTGGTTACCTGGGGTGCTACAAGAAGCATCTCAATGACAAAGAAAAAAACGCATATTAGATTTTCTTTCTACTTTGAGGGTTCGGAAGTTCAAAAACATAATAAGGATGTGGTTTAACTCAAATTATTGGCATTAGTCAAATAGACAACACAGGAATCATGTAGCCATTCCACATATAGTAAGGCAAGGCTTTGTTGAGTTGAAATTATATTCTTTATATTCATTGAAATTTCATTGCAACTAAACTATTTCTATGTCTATTTCTTCCTCCATTTAACTTTTCAGGACAACAATGAATAGTCATCGCTACATTAGCAGCAATGATATAATTAGTGACCTACCAAGAAATATTGTAGAATGTATCCTTGAGCAGATGCCCATAAGGGATGCAGGAAGAACAATCATCTTGTCAACAAAGTGGAGGAGTATTTGGATTACGATTTCGCAACTTATGCTTGATAATCAATTTTTTGAAGAGGCCCTCAAGATCAAACCAATAGTCCAACATGAACTTGTGAGCATTGTTGATAAAATTCTCTTGCTTCACAGTGGCCCCATACTGAAATTTGTGTTGTGCATTCCAAATGTACAAATCGATTGCAGCTCAGATATTGATCGTTGGATACTCTTTCTGTCAAGAAATGGTATCAAGGACCTCACACTTGACAATTCAAATAATAAACCCTATAATTTGCATTCCTATATCTATTCTTGTCCAGAGTTGACTCGTCTGAAGGTTGTCAATTGTTTGTTCAAACTACCTCAGAAACTAAGTGGCTTTAGTAATCTCATCTCATTAGCCTTCACCTTAACAAAATCTCACTTGCACAAGACATGCTTACAATCCTATTATCTAGGTCCCTGGTGCTTCAGAGATTGACCATTGAACATTGTACCAGTATTGGCAATTTCTATATCAGTGCTCCAAAGTTGAATTTTCTACATCTCCACTACAGTCATGGGATAAAATCAATGTGTTTTTTGGACACCCATAATCTGAATTATATCTGCATCATATTATGTAAGAAAATGGGAAGTTGTGAGAGGGGCAAAACACGCAATGTGGTTGAGTTTCTGAGGTGATTTTCCTAGAATTGCAACACTACATTTGGATGGTTTTCTCCTTAAGGTGAGACGGTTTTGAATATCAGGTTCACTTATATGAAATCATGTGGCTTGACAATGTCTAAAAAATTGCCTTCGTTTGCTTCATAGGTTTTGGCTGCAGGTGGTGTTCCACGCAGTCTTCCAACCCCAGTTCACCTTTTGAAGTCACTTACATTATATAATATTGGGTTATATGACTCGAATCAAATTTCTTGCACACTTTGTTTGATTAGAAACTGCCCCAACTTGACTACACTTCACATTATAGTAAGAACTCCTCGAAGGCCTGCACAGCTAAGAGCATTTTTGAGGAACTGGTTCCAAATCATCTGGAAGCACCAGACTGCATAACTCAAATGCTGGACATACTTCGATCTGTGAAGATAAGTCAGATCAAGGGTTGGAAGCTTGAACTTCTGTTCATCAAGCTTCTGCTAGCCCACTCAACAATGCTAGAAACAATGTTTGTTGAGCACTGTGTAACAGTTGATGTGCAAGAAGGGTTCGAGATCTCAAAAGAGTTGGCACGGTTTCCTCAAGGGTCACCAAAAGCAGCAATAATGTACTAGATAACGATGGTGCTGACATAGATATTTGCTTTTCCGTTTCTTCTAGTTCTGGTATCTAATCAAAGAATGTTCGTAGATATTTGATGGGCACTAGCTGAAACAAACTTGAAACCTCCTCTCTTGGAAGATATAAGTAGATGTCTTTTTTGTCCTCTGGTTTTTGGGTGTAGTTTAAAGACTTAAAAATGTCTGCTGGAAGAGCAAGTCTTCTATCTATGGTTTGGTAAAAGATTTGCAAATTGAAACCTCCTTTTCTGTTAGATGGTGTTACCAACCTCCCACATGCCAATCCTTTTCTTTTTCTTTTTTCTTTTTTCTTTTTTTGTTGGTATGATGGGTTGGAGTGGCATAGGAAAGGAAAAGTTACATAGTGTAACAGTAAGACTTAAAGTCAGACATTTGGCGTTAGTTTCATTATAAACGGCTTTGCTTTTGGAAATGAGACATTTTTTCTTTTTCTTTTTTTAAATATATTTATCATCCTTGCAAATTTCCAATACAAAAGAAGAAAGAAGAGGGAAAAAAATTTCTAAAACAAACTTTTGATGTAGAATTCAACACATGCCAACGTGGGTAAGAACCATTGCAGACACATTTAAATCTTAGAAATTTACAAGGGTTGAAAGTTAATTAATTGTTAATTCACTGTGTGTTAATATAACCAAAGTCCGCAATCCATTAGACAAAGCATTTTTCTTTCTTGAAATTAGCAGTGTTACATCCCTACAAATTTCTTCCACAAAAATACCTCCACAACAAACTCTTACCGGTAAGAATTCATTGCTATGGTAAGAATTCATTGCTATAGAGTGAGTGAAAATTTCTCACCAGTGAAATATTTTTAAAAAATTAGGTGTGTTAAATGTATTTTCTTTATACATTAATGCACAATATGTTAGTTCAGGATTAGGGGATGTGATTTTTTCTTGCCTCGCTTTACCTTTGCATCTTTTGCCTTGTTTTGCACAAATTTTTTCCACCATCGATGACAAAGTGGGGTAGGAACAGATTTTAATTTTCCTACTCTGTTCTAACATGTCTCACTCCATTAATATTTACTAAATATATTTATATGTATATATATCATTTAATTTTTTAAATATGATAAAATTAAAACCTAAAAATTACACTTAGTATTTATTTCTTATCTTATGTATTTTAACTTTCATTAATTATAAATCACTAGTCATAAAAATTACACTTAGTATTTCTTATCTTATGACAACACGTGGCCGAGGAGGCACCAGAGTGCCAGCCGAGGTGCCACGTGTCCTGGACATGACGCCGAGATAATCTCGTCTAGGCTGAGGTTATCTGTGAAGATACCGGAATCCGGGATAAGGGGATAAGGGACAAAAGTCCCAGAATGGGAGAGGACTTCAGTTTGGGTAAAGATAAAACTTTGAGAGAGTTTATCTTAATCCTGCTGGGAGTCTAAGACTAGCAGTAATCCTAAGTCCATTGGAGCTAGGCTTCTATTGGGATTAGGACAGTATTGGCTATAAAAGAAAGGCACCCTCATGGGCCTAAGATACGCTTTTTGTATTTTGAATAGTGAGTTAAGCACTTTTGTTATCTTTGAGAGATAACTAACTTGATCGTCGGAGTGCCCCCGGGTGGACGAACCACCGCCGGAATCTCTTCTTTTTGTGACAGGTCGTTCGAGCTTGATCTATTCTGCCAGTGTTTCTCCAGCTAAGTTCTAGTTTTGGCAGTATGGTCAAAAATTAACACACACAATTTGGCGTCATCTGTGGGAACAAAAGGAGAATAGATGGCCACGAAGGACAAAAAGAGAAGGTTAGGAACGACTTCCCTATTGGGAGTGGGAAACCTATTGACCTCGAAGAAGATAATTGCAACAAGGAAACTCAAGATCAGAATAACAGAGAGAAAGACGTTGTCCAGGAGGGCGGCGTACCAAAGAAATCGGACCGAAGCGGGTATTACAACGAGTACGACCTCCAGGTATGGAAAGATAGATGCTTGGGGCGGGATGAAGAGATGAAGGAGATGGCGAACAAGTTGGCGGACCTGCAAATGGTCATCAATTTCATGATGCAAAACAATGTCATGCAACTACCGTTCCCGTTGCAAGACACACCGATTCCAGCGGCCAAGAACAAAGCCCAGAAGGGAGGGCAGAAAACAGTCCCTATAGCCCCCCAGCAAACTAGGACCAAGGAGCACTCTCACCGGCCTTCAAGGAAAGTCGGGCGAGGAGAGCCAATGAAGGGAGATTCACGGAGGACGCATCGTACCAAAGAAGCTGAACCCAAGGAACATCGGCATGTTTAGGGGAAGGAACTCTGTTTCGACGTAACTAATAGAGAGAAGTCCAAGAGGACTCACCGGAAGCAGCGTGCCGAAACGGCTAAAATTCAGAGATAGCAGAGCTCTTGGACGGACCAAGGAGGATCTGAGAGATTACCTCCAGAGGAAGCAACAAAATGCTGAGGTAACCTCCAGGTTAAGCCGAGAACGCCGTTCTCGGTAGAGTTGGATAAATTTGAGGCCCCGAAAAGGTTCAGTATGCCGAGGTTCCAGATATACAACGGTAAGTTGGACCCCAACTTTCACGTCAGCTTGTACCTGAACTCGATGGCACTGTACACTGGGAATGAGCCGTTGCTCTGCAAGGTGTTCCCCTCGTCCTTTGAGGAAATTGCATCGGACTGGTTTCACAAGTTGCCGAAAGGAACTGTGAAAACCTGGAAAGGCCTAGCCGAGATGTTTGTGGCTAGGTTTGTGACAAACAAGCTACAGCCATTAAGGGTGGACTCCCTGATGGCTCTGGGAATCAATGAGGATGAAAGCCTAAGGGCCTATGCCAAAAAGTACTATGAGGTATTCAACCGGATACCATAATGTAACCAAGAGGTGGTGGTCGTGTCCTTTAAGAACGGCCTAAAAGATGATTGTCTACTTCGAAAATCATTGGCAAAAACACTGCCAAAAAGTATGGAGGAATTAATGGCCAGAATAGAGAAGTATGCTAGGGCCGAGGAAGACACGCCGGGGACAAAGGCGTCGAAGCAAGAGAAGGGAAACGGCTCACCGAAGCGAGGCCGAGGTAATAGCGGGAACAACAAGCAAGAGACAGGATTAAGGGCTGCACAGGCAGTCACAACCATATTTCGAATCCTAATTTACAAAGTATTAGAGAAAATTTGAAATCAGCCGTATTACAGAGCACCAGTAAGGGCTCCTAGTGAATTTATGGGAAGAAGCCTTGGCAAACACTGTGCTTACCACAACGAAGATGGGTACCTAACTCAGGGTTGCAAAGCCCTGAAGGCACATCTGGAAGACCTGGTAAGCCAAGGTCATTTAAGGGACCTTATAGACAAGGCCAGGACAAGGGAAGAGCAAGCAAGACTGCCTCAGGCACCGGCAGCACCGCATCCTCCCGCACCACAACCGCAGGCAAACGAACCTCGGGTGATCAATGTGATTCACTCGAAGGTCAATGAGAACGAAATATGTGGGGAGACACAGAAGGTAAAACATTTGCAACATGTGTACCAGGTCAGGCAAAAAATACCTAGGGCAGACAAGTACTAAGGACCAATGGTGTCCTTTACTAAAGACGACCTAGATATGGTGCAGCATCCACACAACGATGCCTTGGTAGTATCCCTCCAGGTTGGGGAGTACCAAGTGAAGCGTATCTTAATTGACCAGGGCAACTCATGTGACATCATGTATGTCAGATGTTACAAGGAGCTTGGCCTTCACCAAGATGACCTGGAGCAGTCCAATGGCCCAGTGGTTGGGTTCAATGGAACGCCGACATAGCCCTTGGGAGCGGTTAGTTTGGAAGTGCAAGCTGGCACCAAGAGGATAAAAGCTGAGTTCACAGTAATTGACACTCCCTCCCTCTATAACGTTATCTTGGGAAAGCCATAGCTGCATGTAATGGGGGTTGTTCCCTCAACATTGCACCAGTTATTGCGATTCCCAACAGAGCGTGGAATTGAGGAGGTCAGAAGGGATCAAGTACACGTAAAGAATTGCTCCATGGTAACAATGAAATCTACCTGCAACATACGAGAAGCAAAACCAATAGAGATTAAAGATGAGGACATGGAAGTCCTGGAGGACATCGGCAAAGAGCCAACCGAGAAGAGTGAGGAAACCCTAAAGAAAGTCTACGTCCATCAAGGGGATGAAGAGCGCTACTTCCTTCTAGGCTCGGGCTCGACTGAGGAAGAGGAAAAAGAGCTTGAGGCGTTCTTGAGAGCAAACCTTGAGGTGTTTTCCTGGACGCCGTACGAGATGCCTGGCATTAACCCTGAGGTCACTTGCCAGAGATTGAATGTGGACAGGTCGGCCAAACTTATCGTCTAACGAGTAAGAAGGCCGGCGTTGATACATGTCGAAACAGTAAAAGAGGAAGTAGATAAACTTCTAGAGGCCAGGGCCATTCGATAGGTAAATTACCCAACATGGTTATCAAACACGGTGGTGGTAAAGAAAAAGAATGGGAAGTGGAGGGCCTGTGTGGACTTCACCAGCCTAAACAAGGCTTGTCCCAAAGACAATTTCCCACTACCCAAGATCGACCAATTGGTGGATGCCACTTCAGGGCATGGAAGGATGAGCTTCCTAGATGCATACAGAGGGTACTATCAGATAGCTATGTACCCCCCAGATGTGGAGAAAACTGCATTTATCACCTCAAAAAGGCTGTATTGCTATAGAGTAATGCCTTTTGGGTTAAAAAATGCAGGAGCAACTTACCAGAGGTTGGTAACCAAGATGTTCAGATATCTAATTAGCAGAACAGTAGAGGTATACATAGATGACATGGTCGTGAAGACCAAGAAACCTGAGGATCATCTGAAGGACTTAAAGGTAGTTTTTGATATCCTTAGGACATATCGGCTCCGATTCAATGCATCGAAGTGTGCATTTGGAGTTGGGTCTGGTAAGTTCTTAGGATATTTGGTTACAAGAAGGGGCATAGAAGCTAGCCCGGATCAGATTAAGGCCATCTT